CTGTCTACCTTTCTATCATTCCTTTTGTCACTGTCATTCTTGTCTGTCTTTCTTTCTATTTTTCTTTTCTGTCTGTCAGTCCTTTAGTCTTTCTGTCACTAATTCTTTCTCTGTCAGTTCTCCTTCATGTCCGTCATTCTTTTCCTTCTTTCTGTCTTTTTTTTTCAGACTGTCATAATCTTTCTGCCCTTCTCTCTCTCTCTCTTTCTCTGCTTCTGATCTCATTGCGGTGTGTTTGTGAAGCAGGCAGAGTGCTGCTTATGTAACACTGCGGCGTGTTTTTGCTGACACATATATGTGAAAGAGGATTGGCTTGAAGCCCTGGAAAGAGAATCTGATGTTTGGGGATTATTTCATATTGGTGCATGTTTCTTTCAGCGCTCGGTCCCTGCAGGCACCTCAGATGTGACCTGTGTTATCAGAGGACAGTGTGAAAGCTGAACATGGAGAATGGAGACACCGGCTGAGCTGAACAGCACCCCACACACACACACACACACCTCGTTCCCTGTTCGTCTCGCACCGTCTCGCTGTTTCTCACACGCTGTCCTGCTGCAGGCAGATATTCCCTGATGCTCTCCCTCCACATACAGTTTCACACTCATTGACTCATGTGCACACACACACTCTAAATATGCTGGGTTGTTTTAACCCAACTTTGGGTAAAATATGGACAAACCCAAATGTTGGGTTAAAAATGTAATTAAAAATTAACCCAATGGCTGGGTTTGTCCACAGTTAGGTTAAAACAAGTGTGCAAACACACGTCTGGTTCCCTATTTTTGTGGGGACTCTCCACAGACATAATGATTTTTATACTGTACAAAGTGTATATTCTGTCCCCTTACACTAACCCAGAAAACTTAATGCATTTTTACATTTTCAAAAAAATATAATTTAGTATGTTTATTAGGCAATTTCCCTCGTCTGGTCCCCACAATGTAAGTGATCTCAGGTTTTACTATCCTTACACACACACACACACACACACAAGTCTTTAAAAAAAAAAAAAAACATTTCTGCGGCCCCCATTTATTTTTTAACTATTGTCTCGTTTACATCTAAGATGTAAAATCCAGCATGTGTGTTTGTGACGACATTAGATAAACGATAAGTGGGGGAAAATCAAGCTTTTAATGGTGTTTATCCATGTGGTGTTTGTATTATGCTTTAAGACTAACCATGTGTAAATGTATAAGTTAACACCATTGTTGAGTATTTTCTGCTTAAAGAGGAACTTGGCAACTATTTCAACTTAATAAAACCGTTTAGAAACCATTTGGATAGTTAAATAACCTGTTCTGGTGTGTTCCCAGGCGGAAAACCAACTTTGTAACATTTGGACTAACGTAAGCGGGAGGAGTGCGAATGCAAGTGAGTTTTTATTACGACAGTGTTCTGAAATATACGCCGCACAGCTATAGGGGGAGATCGATGAGAAAACATGCGACAACAAAAGTGAAAATCAGCGAAGAAATGGCTAGAGTTTCCAACTTCCCCTTTAAAACTGCAGTGAACCAAAGACGGTCTCAAAAACACGGTTTGAAATCGCTGGTGTTTCTGACGTCACACACTACCATGTACTAATCAGGTCAACGTGCCGGCGTGCTTTAGCATATCATTGATGGCAAACTAGCAGGGGGGACGTAAGAGATGCCAGGTTATCCCGGTATATTTTTCTGTTGATATATAAAAATCGGGTAGATTTAGTAATATAGCGGGTGTATGATGTATATTACGATGTCACGATAAACTATATGTTTCTCCACTGACGTTCTGAGATGTTCAAAGTGTTTGATGTCAGAAGGCAGCCGTCTGACTCTGAGATAGCGAACGGGAACAAGGTTTGTGTTTGATTCAACCCGATCTCATGGGAATTCGTGCGAATTTTACGAGGTAGCTAATTCGTACGACCTCACTCGTACGAATTAATACGATTTTGCTAAATCGTACATATTTTACGAATTAGCCAATTCGTATGAATTCGTACGAATGACCTACCCCTGACCCCGCCCCTAAACATAACCGTCGCGTGGGTTTAGACAAATCGTACAAATTCGTACGAGTGATGCCGTATGAATTAGCCACTTTTGAATCACTCGTACGAATTGGTCGTGAGATAGCGTAGGTTTGATAGCGTAGTCAAGCAGAAGGCTAACCGTATTTATCCCGTTATGTGTCTGACGTCGCTCCATTGTGCAGCGTTTACCTCAGTAAGTTGACTGAGCAAGTGGATTTCTGAGCTGGTGTGAGTGAGTGAGTGGAGGCGGGGTTAATTAGCATATCCATAGAACTGCGTATATAAAATGAGGCAAGGGTGTAGAGTTACGTTCAAGCTATTATAAGGAATGAAGAACTGGAAAAAAGATTAAATATGTCATTTTGGTGATCAAAGATGAGTTTTAAGGGATAAAATGATTGATTACTTAATGATGATAATAATAACTAATAGAGAGTGTTTTCAGCGTGTGCTGAATATAACTAGCACTTGATCTGCTGATGCGGTTAGTGTTAACAATGGACTCAAACAATTACAGTTTGTCTCTCTGGCATTGGGATGATAATGTGCTCATTTTCTGTAATTGTATAACCGCCATCATTTTAATGTGTGGGTTGTTTATGATTGAACACTAAAGGCTTGTTGAAATTCACTTACTGCATTTACTTCTCCGTCCATCTCTCAGTCTTCTGTGTTTCAGCTTGAAGCCTCCTCTGGGTTTTGATTCGTCAGGTTGCGAGGGTCACTGTCAGGTCAGCGTTGACAAAGTGTCACTTCCTCCAGGCTTTTCTCGAGACACTGAATCATGACGCCATTGCTGTGTTGAAGATGCCACGAACAGCCTGCATCATTCAGACGCTTGTAGATCCCCTCGGGGGGACGTCCATGTGGAGATCTGGAGCATGTGACGGAAAGTGAGGGTTTAATCTGCATCCAAAGTGGACGTATTTTGGAGGGATGGGTGTATGTCGGGTGATGTACGGATGGATGGGTTCTGTGGGCGCAACCAAGGGAGTTTAGATAAGGGTATTGACACAAATTTCCCAATTCGATTCGATTTCGATTCACAAGCTTGCAATTCGATTCGATTTTGATTCGATATTGATTATTTTGGATATCAGTTCCAATAAATGGCAAATTTTCTCAAGGAAATCAAATCTCTGAAAGTCAAGTCACATTGACACAAAGTCAAGTCACATTGAAAGAAGGAAGTCATATACAGCTAGTTGTAATTTTTGGGTGAACTATCCCTTTAAGTAAAGTGTTAACGTTTTGTCCACTTTATAATATATTTGGCGTAGCGACAAGCCAAAGCACTGTGACAAACTGAATTTATTTAACTTTATGCAAATGAGCAGCGAATCAGTGTGAGATACAGATCTGACCTGATAACATAATTTGACCAAAGTGACAGTCCAGCATATTTTGCTCCTAGCTCACGCATGATTTCTTCGGCAGACAGGAGACTATAAATGAACTCCATCATACAGTATCACATGTTTTTATCCCTGAGCTTAGCCTGTTTTGGATTGACCCTGTACTTAAAGCCTTAATAAAGTGCCCTGTGGCTGTTGTTAGAGAGGATGGGGAAGCATCCACCGTATTCAGGCATTGAGTCGGCCAGAGGCGCAGCTCTCGGCACTAATTATGGATGAGGATAAGGGCAGTGGAGCGCGTGGAGATTGTGGCGTGTTGCTTTATTTAACCTCTTGCTGCTGAAGCTCAGTTCTTTGAAAAGGGGAGGAGAACTGACATTGAAGATGCAGAAAAATGTAATGGTTGGATAAGTGTGTGTGTGTGTGCGTGTGTGTGTGTGTGTGTGTGTAAGTCTAGGCCTGCATGTTTGCTAAGCATGTGAGGATTACATTTATTCCCTTTTAAAGGAACAATTGACTCATTTTTGAGAACTCTGTCATCTCATGTCCCATATGACTTTTTTTTTTATCCCACAGGAACACCAAACTTCTCTTTTTTTAATTCAACGATCTGGGTTATCAAGCTCTTAAAAGGACAGAATGTACAATAGAAAAAGTTTTTCTTTTTTTTGAGGTCCGGTTGGTGGGAAAACGGTGGAAAAAGTTAAACTAATAAATATATAAATAAGAAAAGAAAAAAACATTTGATTAAAATAATCAAAAATAAATACATTAAAAATAAATTCAAATAAATAAAATATGATAAAATAAATATATAATCAAATATTTAAATACACAATAATCATTAGATTAAATAAAAAAATAAATACATTATTTATGACAGTAAAGTACACGTAGTATAAAAAACAAAACAATGTAGCTTATGAGAATATACAATATTTTCCAAATAAAATTTGACACATTATTTTGTCATCATACACTAAAAGAATGCTGTGTTGCCATGTATGGATGAACCCTACTATTGGTTAAAGGCTGAGTTTGTCTGAGTTTGTGTTTTTGGCGGCTGAGTTTGTCCATTTTTGACCCAATCATGGGTTGAAACAACCGAGTATTTTTCTTAGAGTTAAATTATATTTTATACATTAAAACAGTAAAGGTTTTAAAACCCCTGCCATAGACAAGCAAAAAGTAGTACATTTGTGTGACTACAATTTTGAACCATCACTTCAACTAACGTTACCCGCGAGATTAGATAAGTTGGTAAATGGGACAAATAATATCTAAATTTAAAAACTGCAAAATCATACATGACCCACTAATTCAGAACCACTAGGTTACAGAGATCGTACTTACATCTGGAACGACGGAAGGGAAACGTGTAGGCTACTGGGGTTTGGGGATGATGTCTTTTAAGCAATTTATTTGGGTTAAATGCCATATTATCGTTAAAATATGTTTCAGTCAGTCAGTCTGTCGTCTGATGTCACTCAGACTCTTTCGCGCGCTATTTCTCTCTCTCTCTCTCTCCTCTAGCGACACCCAGCGGAAATATAGTGCAGCGCAAGAGCACGCCTGATCACGTGGGCTGCATCTTCAAGACCTCCACTCGTGATTTCTGTCTCATTTTTGACGGAGTAACATATTTAAGTGTTTGTATGTTCACGTGTTCCTTTCTTTTGTATATACATATATGTCTCAATTTATTTTATTTTAGCATACTGTTTGATAACCGCGGCAAAGAATTGATAAAACAGTTTAGGAGATTATTTATCATTATTATTTGATTTTAAATATTTTTGTACAAAAATATTTTATAATATTATTTTATTTTGACTTGACTTGGCTAGGATAATATTTTCAATGTGTGTGTCTGCGCACGTACAGTGACTGAAGAGTTTGTGTCGCGTGGGGAAAGTTGCGCGAGGAGCTCCAGTGCGCGTGGATCAGAATGTGATGATCACGGAGGATCGTTTAATCATATCAAACTCATCATATCACATGAACAAGGATCACCTCATCAGATCAAGCACATCACCACGAGCCCGGTCCTGCTCAACCGTTCAAACGATATTCAACCGAGAGCGCGCCTGAAATCACCAACCTGATGATGATGATGGACGCCAAGGTGGAGAACTATTAACGGAGAAGGTAAAGTTACTCATTCATAGAGTATTTTCCTTCATGGCATTGCCGTGTTTTTGGACATGCACCATTTCTAATACCTTGTTTAAATATTGCCAATTATGTTTCGGGCTATTATTTGAAATGTAGGCTATCTAGTCTTGTATTTTGGATTACCAGGTTCATTATTGAGTACCATGGTATTGCACCACACCACAGTACTTTCAGGATAGATAGATAACTAGATAGACAGACAGACAGACAAAAAGTACCACGTGTACATTGGTAGTACCATGGTAATCTTTGAATCACTATGGCGCTGTATATAAATATGATTATTTAGTAGTACTATATGTTAAAATACCACATTACTATATGATTCTATCAGTGTCACAAGATCCTTTCACAATATGTTTAAATAATAAATATATAGACAAGCAAAAGTAGTATTACCATGCATTTTTATGTGTACAATGGCAATATTCAGTACCTGATGATGCCATCACTGTATTGTGGTACTTTTGAAGTACATATGAAGCCATGTCTAAATTCACATCCAAAGCGTCATGTGATTTTAGTCCAACTGACTTGTTTTGGTAGATTTTCCATTCAATACAGCCTGTAGAGTTATAAGATGATTTTTGATGCAGATGTATGTTCATATAATCGATAGTTATTATCATTTGATCCAGTCGGGATCAGATGTTGTTTCTCAGTCCACTTGCTTTTTGATCCATGAAATGAGTCAGATTTCTGAAGTTAAGTCGATCTCCACCTCAGTTGTACTATCGTACTGTTCAGTTGTATATTGTCCGTTATAAATGTTTATATTTATACATTTTGGTTTGGAAATCATGCTTTTTTTTAGTGTACAGTAGGTTTGTTGCCTGGTGGTAGTTAGACAGAAAAACCACCACAGCTATGAGCATCTTCGGCTGCGGGGGTGGCAGTGTGAAAAGTGTGGTGGTGAGCCTCCTGGGAGAACACACACACACACACACACACACACACACACATGCAAGCAGTCTGTTCACACTTGCAATGGCTTTGTTTCGCAGCACTTTGACTGATGGATGAAACTCATCTTGTTTTTCCAGTGCTATAATAACCAGTCTATTAGAATGATGTCATGTTATAATCGCTCATTGTGAACACTATATATATATATCCTGTTTGTCACTGATATAGCCTACAAGCATAACGCCCTCACCATTATTAGTTTTTTGGTGCGGTCCGTCCTTCACTTTAGGACTTTTTTTCTCTATTTTTTTTCTTGTTTACTGTATTGTAATTTTGTCCTCACATATTAGCAAGCATAAATGGCGCTTGAAATGCCAATGATTATAAGTTCAAATCTTAGAGAATGCGTGTAATTTAAAGTGCCCCTAATATGTTATTTTAAAGGTTACTCATTTTGTCGTAGAGTCTGACAGTAGGTTTAAAAAAAGGTAAAAACAACATTAATTTTCTCATAATACACATTGCAACTTCAGCTTCTCTCTAAACCCCGCCTTTCTGTTAGCTTCCTCTGCTCTGATTGGTCGACCTCTCACAGCAGATCTTCCTACACTTGAAACGCAGAGATACGAACAGTAACAATGGCGTCGTTTTACCGTATCAAATCTCATCTTTTGGAAGTGCAGCAAAGAAAACGGCGTCTTCTCGACATGAGAAGTCTTCCAGTCTCAGCTGCAACCACAGCGTTTTAGGGCGGGGCAAAGGAGACGTTGTTTTCCAGCAGCCAATGAAAGCCATAGGCTGGCATTATGTAAATTGTTACAAACCTAATAGAGAGCCTAAGCCCCTCCCCTTCCGGTCGACCACCAACGGAACTAGCCTGGATGCCAGCCCGAACTCCGCCCACAACATTTTTTGTTCGGGAAGTTCGGTCTGGACCCGATCCATTGAGGAGGAATTATGATCAGACAAGAAAAGTTCGGGCCAATCAAATTGCCAGGGCGGGCTTTATACGATGATGGACAGGTGATCTGCAAGGACGTAATCATCACGTTATGCTCAAAGATGACTGCAGCTGGACAATTGAGATGTATAGATTCCACTGTCGCGTCTGTTGTAAAATAAATCGACAGCGGATTAATTTTAATTGGCGAACAGAAAACTGCAATCAAGGCATTTGTCGATCGGAAAGATATTATTGCCGTCCTTCCTACATGATTCGGAAAAAGTGTAACTTATCAGCTGGCTCCGATGATCACTAAGAAGATGGGACGTAATGAAAATCCTGTGGTCGTTGTGGTTTCTTCTTTGGTCGCACTCATGGAGGAGTAAGTAAAAGAAGCAACACTTGCTATTTTACTTCTAAAATAAGTAAGGTCTGTAGTTGACAACTGTATGCAAAGTAGCTGCCTTTCTGCGTTGCTCTGATTGGTTGTAGGTTTATCGACTATCCAATTGAGTGCAGAGTTTTTTTTTCCTGGTTCGGTTAAAGGGTTAGTTCACCCAAAAATGAAAATTCTGTCAGTATTTACTCACCCTCATGTTGTTCCAACCCCGTAAGACCTTCGTTCATCTTCGGAACACAAATTAAGATATTTAAGATATTAAGTTCACTCCTGCATACTAGTCCATAAGCTTCTTGAGGGAATGACTCTTGCTGGCATCGAAAAGTCATTAAAGACATCGTTAAAATAGTCCAAGTGACTACAGTGGCTCAATTTTAACTTTATCAAACGACGAGAACACTTCTGTGCGCAAAAACAAACAAAAATAACGACTTTATTTCAACTATTCACTTCCTTCTCCATGGGCCTGTAGTCAGTTAACGTAGTGTGATTGCGTAAAGCTACGTCACACGTAGGCTCACTATTGGCCGACGCTGGTCGTGTGTGTGACGCGTGTGACGTACAATAACAGAAGCTTACGCTATTAAACTAGTAACCTGACTCGCGCAGAGGGAGAAATAAACGAATAGTTGAAATAAAGTCGTTATTTTTGTTTGTTTTTTTGCGCAAAAAAGTGTTCTCGTCGTTTGATAAAATTAAGATTGAGCCCCTGTAGTCACTTGGACTATTTTAACGATGTCTTTAATGACTTTTCGAGGACAGCAAGAGCCAGTCCCTCAAGAAGCCTATGGACTAGTATGCAGGAGCGATCTTAATATCTTAAATATCTTAATTTGTGTTGCGAAGATGAACGAAGGTCTTACGGGGTTGGAAAAACATGAGGGTGAGTAAATACTGACAGAATTTTCATTTTTGGGTGAACTAACCCTTTAAGAAACGCCTCATAATCAAAGCCCTACGGAGCAGTTTCAGACTCATATTCCGACAAGAATATGAGAATGACGAAGTCAGGCTACCACGGTACCTTTCGGAAAAATATTGTATGGTAGTCAATGTAATCAAAAATCGTTAACCTTTTATCGCAATAATATCGCTATAATGAGTTCAGCGACCTGTTTTTTGTTTTAAAAAGTGTCTTGTTTTACCCAGAATGCATTGCAGTGTACTCCTACTTAAGATAGTCAGTCTTAAGTGTCTGATTTAGATCTCTATCTGAAGTCTGACTATCCACTATATCAAAGCCATAGTCAAAGTCGGACCAGGTGAAGATAATGAGGAAATAATACCTAACGATTAAAGTGCGTTCAAAACGGCTACACTACACACAAGTGCCCCGCTCACTTTTATTAGAAATACGCCCTTCTTCTGAAGCTGAAACACGTGTGTTTTTTCCTCTGGAGAATGTACTCTAATGACTCGGTCCTCCATAATTATCATTTTCATAGCGCTTCATCTCTGTGTCATGTTTGTTTGCGTGTGTATCTGACTGAAAGCTTCCGTCATCCTGTTTTAATGAAGGGCAGCTTTATCTTCCGGCACCTCAGTGGGCAGCTGGCATTAGGACCCCTGATTTCACACATCCCACCTCATCTTATCCGTCACTTTAGGCCTGTTTTAGACACAAGCACAATCCGCCACGGCTGCGGTGTGTCATCATTCATCAGCCGCTTCAATACAGAATGACAGCATCACTGCACTAATAATGACAGTCCCATTCAGACACATTTCAGTCAAATGACATGCGATCATTGAGAGGTTATTTTAACGGTTAATAGTCGCCTACTCTTTAACTGAGTCGAACTGTGATGAGTTTGAGTTTGAGTTCAGTTGAGCTGAGGTGTTGTGTGAAAGAGTCTGCTCACCCACATATCTCTGAGCCCTATTGACTTAAATTGCACAAAAAATACTGGAGCATTTTTTTTTTTGGAATATTTCAAAACTTTTATTTAATGTTTCACACCAGAAATGAAGTCAGAGAAGTTTGGAATGACATCGGTGAGTAAGTGATGACAGTTTTCTTTATTTGGGGGGCAAACTAAAATTAAAACCTTTTTAATTGTGTTGAATTTAACCAAAGCTGAATGAACATTTCAAATGAAATTTTATTTGAGCTGAGTGAAGTAAAACTTAAATTAATTTTGATTTAATAACTCTATTAACTAACTTTTTCCTTATATTAATATGTCATAAATTAGTCTAGAATATTTAATAAAATAAATAAATAAAATAATTATTTTATGAATGGTTCATTGAATGTAAGTCTGTATATTTATAATATAAAATAAATAGATAGAAAGTTATATAGTCCATATATTTTAGCATTTTAGCTTATACAAGTCTAAATATTATTTATATAATGCTAAATATATATATATATATATATATATATATATATATATAAAATATATATAAATAACAAATAACATTGATAAATAAAAAAAAAAAATATATATATATATATATATATATATATATATATATATATATATATTAGGGCTGTGAATTGATTAATCGCTATTAATTGCATCCAAAATAAAAGGTTTTGTTTACATAATATATGTATGTGTAGTGTCAGTGTGTATAATTATTTTGTATATATATACACACATATGCATGTATATATTTAAGATAAATATGTTATTAAATATATAAAAATTTATATTTATGCATAATATTAATTGTGTATAAATATATATAATGTATATAATGCAAATATTTCTTAAA